TGGATTGAATTAATTTTCCCATTCTACCACGTGCACAAGTCCTTGAATAACCCAATCTAAGCAGACCTGCTTCAACCAGATGTGCTCCAGATGCCCCTTCAGACCCAGAAGTTTCCATGACTGCAGCCAGGATTGCACCAGCTGCTCTTGGGAGCAGACTCGCAGAGGCACAGACCAGACCCCTTCAGAGCCTGAAATTTGCAACCACCAGTCACTGAAAACAGTACAGGCTTCATAATGTTTACACTATGGAAATGTCTGGGTGTGTGCTGAGTTATCCTTTATCAGTGAGCAGACTATTCCCTCAAAAGTTTTGTTAATGTTTATCTCTGTCTGATTGTCTGTGAATGGTGTTTAGTTTAAGACATTGTAACAACAGAGCTGTAGAGAAATGCAGCTATAAGTCAACTGATGACTTGGACAGAAAAACCAGATCTGCCTGGAACTCCAGCAGGCAATGGAAGGAGCTGTTTCTGTAAGCTGAGCTTCCTGGTACTTGACCTAAGTCCTCATCTTGACCTGCTGGAGAGAACGTTAAAGATTTATCTTGATAGAAAACTTAATTAAATATGAATAATAAAAAGCATCGATCCTCTCTCTAGTGTTTTCTATTTTGCAAATACACAGTGTTTCCTCTAGTCACAATAAGAACAGTCACATGCTTAGTCAGAAGTAAAGAGTTAACACTTAACTACTGGATTTTTTTCCTCACACACAAAAAAATGCCATCCTCCTGTATATGCACATAGGAATTCTCCTCTGCAGACAAGCATCTGAAGGGTGAGCACATGCTTTCCTGGCAGTTCTGCCCCTCTTCTCTTTGACAACTCCATTATTGTGCTCTAACCTCTGCCTGTACTTGAGGGCTGGTATTCAGATGATCAATTTTTTTTTTTCATGGCTTGCATAGGGAACTGTTAGCATGACCTGAGTATCACCTGGAGGTGCAGAGTCTCAACAAATAAAATATTGATACTACTTATGCTTTAAAACTTTTCCTACAGGCAGAAACACAACATCACTGAGTATTATAATCCACTAAAAAATCAGCCCCAAAAGAGTTTTTAAGATTCAAATGCTAATATGTGTACCTGCAAAGCACTGCTGTGGCTACAATGCTTACTATTTTATGTAGAAACTACTGGAAGATTTTGTTTAAATAGGTGTATCTGTGCTAGCAAAACAATAAAACAGAGGGAGAGATGTTTTGGATTATTTTAAAATAATAGGCATGCTATACTAATCATATGCTTAAATTAAGAGGTGTTAGAGGGGATCAAGGCCACAATCCCATTGATATTCATGCAGTTCCAAAGGCTTTTTGTGGAAGAAACTGCAATCTATTTCTTTAACCTGTAATAAATTACCCTATAGCTCTTACTTTGGTTTTCTTCTACAGCAGTACAGACGGCTCTTTGTCTCCTGGATCAGACAGGCAGCCTGCAAAGAGCCATTCGAGCAATTCAAGTTTTCTCTGATCTCAGCCTTTTACACTGACTTACAACTCACTCTAACATGTCAGTAATGAAGTGAACAAGATCTCAGTGATGAACACCACAATTAAAAGCACTGAGGATAGATTGCCAGAGATCCCAAGGGCTGTGATACTGAGCACTGCAGTGCTACCCTGAGCTCTGCTGCTTACCCTGGGGTATGCATGTGCTCCCCAAAGCTATGCACTCATTGAGCCGCCAACCAAAACTCCCCAGACATCACCAGAACAGGGAAATGCACAAAGCAATAACAGTTAAAAGCAGATGAAAAGTCCAGGTCTTGGCACTTACCTTACTGGGCCTCTTTTGGCTCAGGATCCTCAGTCTTAAACCTTAGGTAATATTTAAGCCCCTAAGTCTGGCTTTCCTGGTTCCCTGCAGTTGTTTCACCCTGTGAAGACCAAGGACTGAATAACAATTATTTACTGGTTGAATTCCATCCAGTGCTCTAACAAATGGTATTCATAAACTGGAATAGTTTGCACAGGAAAAGCAGAGAGACCCAACGACCCAGTGGACAGTCCCTTGAATTTGAACATGTGAGGTGAATGGAAACACGTGCACATGTGGGCACAGCCTCCTCTCCAGACTTGTGTGTCTGGATTTTTGGGATGGTGACAAGTTATGTGAAGGGGGGAAACAGCTCAAGCTGCAATACAGAGATTGCACTCAGAGCATCAGCCTAGTGGTGTAAACATCTGCTGTGTGTGATGTGCTGACAGTGCCATGGTGACCTTGTGTGAGTCTGCCTAGGCTGTGCAGGAGCAGATTGACCATCTGGGAGATTTTAGTGACATTTAAGTGGTGGAAGTAGCAACTCATAATCTTTTTTGATGTGTTTGTAAGGCCACATATAAAAGATAAAGTCTATATCATATGGCAGGATGGGTAAGATGAAGAAATCACTAGTTGATGTAACATGGATCATGGTCTGAGGATGCTCAGGCAAGTTTATTACCACAGGTCCTTTAATCTGTGAAATAGTTAAAGCAATGTAGATCAATAGTTCTGATTCAATCTGAGTGTCTCACCAGTATTCAGCAATGGTTGGTGTCCTCAGAAGCATTTAAATATATCAAAAGCCTGCAGAGCAAATATATCAAAAGCCTAGCAGATGGCAAGGCTTGCTTGGACTGAAACAGGCTAAGGAGGATGTTGACATCTCTATTTTCCAGATGGAAATGCACACTGTGAATCAACTGCACAATACTCTCACTGGAGCTCAAAGAAGATGTCCCACATGATTTGCTAATACCTCTTTTACAGCACTCCTCAGTTTTCTTCTCCTGGCAAAGCCATTTTGATTTCAAAGCTTCTGACTCAAACTCGAGTTAATGGGTGGGGAAATGCATGTGGATGTCTGTGCAAATTTTTTTCTCTAAAATACTGAGCAACTGTCTTATGAAGGTGTGCGGTGCTGCTGCGCTGTGTGCTTCAGATACTGCAGACTTCCCGAAGACATTAATTCTGTAATGCACAGGTTTGGCAGCCTGTGAAGGTACATGCCTTAGCAACAGCCTGTGTTGATGCTGGGGATCCCCAGCCCTTGGTAACGATGCTTGTGTGAACACGCAGGTGCCACA